TGATATAGATGAGTAATAAATTATATGTATATGATGACTTATTTCAAAGAATAAATTATATTTTATATGTATATATTAACAATTAACAATTTATATTTTCATACTCAAAATACTCAATAGCCAATAAGCATCTGTTAACAAATATAAGTTGTCACCACATTTTTATTGTGCCCTAATATATATTTGTGATACAGACTTGTTTGTGCAATATGTTAATGTTGCTGTTTGTATTAATTTGTTTAATTAATTAGCCAAAATTATACCATTTGCGAGAAATTTGAGTAAACATTTCTGTAGAGATAATGTATACTTGTATACCTATGAYAGTACACTTAATTTTAAAGAAAAAAATTATACAAAATCACATATCAATTTGTAAAACTCTAAGTAGACTATTGAAAAATACGATGAATAGGTACAAAATATGTAATAAATTGAAACTTTAACTGATTCTCAATAAATTAGTAAACGTTGAAGATAGAGGAAGACTTTAAGGACGCTTGAAAAAATTTACATAGTTCAAATTTGAACTCAAAAATGGGGCACCTCCGTGATATTTGTAAAATTTTATTACGCATGCTCAGAATTTCACTTTTTTTTWAAATTAAGATTTATAAAAAAAAAATGTAATTGTATGTCCTTTATGCATTAAAAAAATTTTAAAAAAGCAAATTTAATACAAGGTCATGCGTTCGAAATATTTCGTGTTACCTTTAAYGTTGAACACATTGTTAAAGATTATAACTTATAACTTATATAGATGAATCCATGAGAATAGATTGTAACCTAAAGTTAGTGTGGTTGAATTGGGGGAGGACGCAGGGGGACTGAGCTACTCTTCATTTTTCTTCAAATTATAGCGTACCCCTTTATTATATTCATCGATTTTGTTGAATACTAGTTTTGCATACGATCCCCGTTTTACTTATTTTTTTTGTTTTTCCCTATACTTTTGAAAACTCGTGGAAATTCTCCATATATTTTTACCGCTCTTTGAAGTATCAAATAGATTCACTTTCCAACCAATAAAAATACTGAGGTTAAAAATTAAWGTATTATCTTGACTACTTAAATAAAACACATAAATTATCATTGTAAAATCAATACTACATTCATCGCTCTGCGCCGAGAAGTAATGAATGATGATGCTTATAGTTCCACAAAGCGACTAAAACAGTAGGTAGAACAGTAACACATTTATAAYTTTRAAATTTAACATAATGTTGTAGTAGTTCTCTATTTTCAACAAAAATTCAGCTCAAAGAAAGTAGATTTTTAATTTTTGTAAATCTACCTATTTATTATGTAATCTATATTTTTTCTTTTGATTAAAAAAAAAAATTTCGAACCTAAATACACAATTTTTTCTAAGATATTATAAGAACCACCTTAACGTTTTTTATAACATAAKAAACCAATTTTTTGTATTTTAAAATTTAAAATATATTAATATTTAATTATAACACTTAAATTGTATTCACTTCATAATAATTTATCATTTATAACGGCATTKTCAGCACTATAATAATTGATAATATATATATCAATATGTTTTTAAAAAAATTTAATCTCATTAAGCCTTTAATTATTAAAAGTTAAAACGTAGGTGTATGAAGATTTCTTGGTGGGTGTAATTGCTTATACTTTCCGGACTTAGCCGACTGCTAAGTTCTTCCAATAATGGTAAACCGACTGGACAGCTTCCGGGTTACCTGCAGCTGCAGAAAGAGATATTGAAATTGTGTTATGAAATTTTATTCTCACGGCAGTGTTACTTCAGAYTTATCTAAAGGTCATGATTCGCGTGTAAGATTTCCAGTGTGCTGACCCTGGCTGCTGGGTTATTATCGGTAGGTATACCGATTATTTTATCGTTTACCTGCCTATTATATAATAATTATAATATCTTATAATAGAGTCATAAATTAAAATCATACTCTATACCTTCTATTATTATGCAATAAAGTATATATATATATATATATATATGTATAAGTACTTTTTAGATACTTGGGATATTTTAGCAACAAGACGCTTTCGTTATTTGGCTATACAGGTATAATGAAAGTTATTAGGTTAAAAATGTTGCAAAGTCTGTTATTTCATCTTAAATAAACTAATTTCTTGKATTTTACTTACAAGATTAGTAAAATTATTTAGCGTATAAATAACTTTGATTGAATTGTTTCACTTAATGTTGCTTAGAATATAATATTAATTTACGAAAATATGAGTAAAAAAAATACACGCACTATTTTTCAAGTGCATAATCTAGGAAATTTGTATAAATAAAATATCCTTAAGGTTATTTTTAATAATACGAAATATTTGAATATTATTCTCAAACATTCTGAAAGTTTGATAATTTTCTTAGGTAACTACTCATTATTTATTAATTGTCGCATATAATGTGTATGTCGGTCAAGCGTGTCTTCGATACGGATCCATGAATTATATATTTTAGGTCGGTCAATATTGTTTCACCCCTCTGGTTCCCTTATTCCGTTCAATTTGATCGCCTTTGTAAAAAACAAAATTTTCGTATAGAGGACTATTTTATAATTTACTTGGATTAATAGGTTTGTATATTAGCATTGAATATAATATGATAAATGGTATTATTGTTATTAGTTTTTGATTCTGAGCGGAGCAATGAATGTGTTTAATGTACAACGTTGTGTATTTTTTTTTGTGTCTGTGTACACGATAAGTTGTCGAAATAATACTTCAATTTTCAACTTAATTTTTCAGTAGCTTTTCCCGTTAGAAAGTGAATCTAGTTGGTGAATTGGGGAGGAAAAATTTTAAAATTCCCAGTAGTTTTCAAAAGCATGACCACACCGGGAAAAACGAAAAAACATTTAAGGTTAAACGGGAATTTTTACACAAAATCAATTTTTGAGAAAATCGATTTTAGATATTAATGTAACTCTGAAACAAATTAACATAGACACATGAAGATCTCACTGAATGCTTATACTGACATTTTCAATACTTGTTAATATTTTCAAAATATTTCAAATCTTTTTAAGTTATTTATAGCCATTTGAAATAACCAATCTTTTTAGTTTTTTATTTTATAAATTGCAGTAAAATGTTATTCGTTGGGTAAAAGCTTCAAAATTTAATACAAGGCTCCTAATATATTGTCACAATAGTAGTTGAAAAATATTAAAAATATATGCTCAATTMTTTTTAATGAGCATTGAAAGTTCGAATTTTGACAAAATACTTAAAATCACTCAAATTTACGGTTTATTATAAATTATAAATTCATAAAAATTTATCTTTTTATATCTAAGATTTAAAAATTCAATACAAGATTCTTCATAAGTTCGTCCACTTTAATCGAATAAAAAATGTCTACCTACCGAAAAGTCAAATTAAATTTTTATGAGGATTTGGATTACAACATTGGATATTTACTCAATTTCTCATGTACCCGATATTCTTATTTTAATGTTATTCAAAAACGAATAACTGTAGAAACTTGAAATTTATATAATGTATTTATTTTATTAATTCCTATGCTTGATAAAATCTTCAAAAATTTTTAAGTTATTTATAGATATTTGCAATTTTCAGTTTTTTAGTTTTTTATTTTATAAATGTCAATAAAATTTTATCTGTTGGGTCGAAAAAAGTGAAAATTTAATACAATTGGTTCCCCATAACCATAAGTTGATATAATATAGCAGTTGGAAAATATTAAAAATACATATAAGCACATTTTTTCATTTTTTTTTTTCTGTAAACATTTAAAGTTCGAATTTTGACAAAATTTAACTAATCGAAAATTTCCAAATTCTTCAGTTGTTAACATTTATAAAACATTTAAATTGTATAACTAAGGAATGAAAATTTAAAACAAGGTTCCACATAAGTAATTAATTCTACTGCAAAAAAATCTTAAAGTTATTCAAACACAGTTTTTTTAATAGTTATTTTAAGTTCAAATTTGCATGAAATTACATATTAAATAATCAAGAATAATAATTTTAGTTATAGTAGTAATTTGAAAATATTATTTCGTGGCCTGTGGGTACTTCAATTTCGAGAGTATACTTTATATTCTAATATTAATTTAGTTAATGTCGTTAATGACTTATGATAATACTTTATAATAAATTGTATATACCTACTAATTACTATAAATAACTGAGTGAGTATGTCCCTAACATAATGCAGTTGATTTGATTGATTTGGAATTTATTTCAGACGTCTCTAATTTTTTTTAAATAATAGCATTATAATTAATATAGTATAGCATAATATATCCTAGCCTGAAAAACCGTCTTCACTCCGAATAGTTTTTCATCAAGCTTTTCTACCCAACAAATAAATTTTTATCAATATTAATTTAAAAAAAAAAATAATGATCCCCCCCCCCCAAAAAATAAAAAAGTACCGACTTAATCGACTTTTAGTGCCCCATACATCATAGTAAAATCAATACATTCCTCGCTCCGCTCAGAATCTAAAAAAGATTTTTCAAAAACAGAATTTATATAAATATTTTAAGATTCTAAAATTTTGTTGTTGTTTTTATAGGTTGTTTCACGATAATAGGGCCAAAGTGAGACATRTCTAACTTGGGTTATTACTTATTTCAGACTTATAGTTATGTTATTAATATTAACTATCAATAAATAAGCAAATCATGTCATTCCTCAGGACAACCGAAATATACAAATACATTTAAGTAAAATAAATATAGTCAACAGCCAGAAGCCTCAAAGTTTCAAAGTTATTATTGTAATTAAATTGTCACCTAAAACATGTAATAGTATAATGTAAATTTAAGTATAAAGCTAATGGCCCATGTTGCCGAAGCTACAAAGATCAATAAAAAATAAATAAATAAATAAATATGTAATTTCAGTTTTTTTAAAGGTACATCGAACGTAGAGGGCCAATTTCCATTCCCAAAACGTAATATGAGGAAGCTGTGGAACAACTTGCGTACGACGTGAAGATGGCATTGCGAGGACGTATCCCATCTATATAGTTGAAACCATAAGCATCCAACAATTTGATTGTTTGTCTTCTTTTACACATCTCTGGCCAAAAATTTGTTTTGGCTCAAAATGTTTGATGTTGAAATTAATTCTGAAATTTTACACAAATGAATCAAACACGAACACATGGTGAACGACAATCCATAATCGACGATGGACCATTATAGTGCTAACTAAACGAATTTATCTGACGAATGCAATGAGCTTATCAGAACCACTCCGTGTCTTTGTATACCCAATTTACTCTAAGAAAATCTCATTTATTTTTGGCCGTATTTCCACTCTGTTCGTTGAACGACGTTTTATTAGTAAATTTCTCCTTTCTTTTGACTCGAATTAGACATGAAAAATTGTTCCTACTCCCATTATATCCTAACTTTTAAATACAATAATATAATGAATATTTAAATAATAGCTAATTACAGTTTATTATATTTAAAATTATCACAAACATATTTAATTTAAATAGTCAATTATCGTTTAGTAATAAAAAGTAATTATAATAGCATGCTATTACAATTTAAAATATTGGATACTTTGTTATAAACGCTAATTCCTTACTAAAATTATAAATCCTAACCAGAATAAATCACAAATGTAATTATTTAAATTAATGGTAGGTACCTACCTAAAACTTAATACGAAAATTTCATGATATAATCCTTAATTAAATATTATTAGTAAATTGTCATATTATGATTACTAAACATCGAGCTTAACTATTGCAGATAAATGAATAAATGATAATAAAGAAAAAATTGAAATCATATAGGACTGGACACAGTGTTAATTAAATATGAAACCCATATTTATCTGTAAATAAATAACAAATTACGATTATTGAGAGTTAAAATATTTAAAAACGTGCGTTGTGAAAAATTTTCAATATAGGTATTTCGTATGGTGTAATGCGTCATAATACATCTATGTTGTGAACAACGCAATTATCATAGATAATAGTATCTATATATATACACACACACACACACACACACACACACACACACACACACACATATATATATATAATATATATACATTATATATAGGTACTATAATAAAGAGTAAACTACATGGTAATGTATTCAGATTTGTTAAGAATGTTTGTAAAATTGATCACTATTTAAGAAGTGAATTATGAATAATGTATTAAAACACTTAAGATTTATATTTATAGAAGCTATATATAGTACCTATATAGGTATACGAAATTGGTAAAATATGAATTTAAAATTATACGTAACCTGCATAAACATGCGTCTTTTGTTACAGCTCTTGCATTTGCTTGGTTAACATTCTCAAAAATAGTGAAGTTGGTAGTTAAGTTAAGTAAGTATATCTGTATCATTTTAAAATTCAAGCCCTCAAATAAGTTTCCCATTTGGAGGTTTCACTGTACATATAGGTTAWAAGTAATTTAAATAACTTTGTATCAATGTTTCCGACGAATAGATTACGATTGTTAACATTTTTAAAATAATTCTTATGATAATAATATTATATATACCTACCTACATGTACAATTATTTAGTACAGGTAATTTTAGAGTTATAGGTCTGTTATAGGCTATAGGTACGTATAAGGTATAACGTAATGTAATAGGAACGGCATGCATAATACACCCCCGAAAATCTACCATACGCATATACCATTATGAATATTATTATAAGGTTTATGACGCGATAATGATTGATATAATGCTATAATAATAATTCTTAGAACGACGTATATTATAATATTATAATTCATTCCTCTCCAGAAAGGTTTATCTATGTATACAGTATAAGTTGCGTCATTCGAGTAAAATTTAATGCTGACTCTCCGATATCCAATACTCGGTCGGAAAAAATAACTGTATAGGTATAATAGTTTTAACTTTTAATACATAATCGCATATAATATCTATATCTTCTATAGTTATATCTATGCGACTATATTATGGTTTACATTATGTATATATATATATTTACGTATATATGTTAAATATATGTGTATGTGAGTGTATGTGTATATATGTGCAGCAATATGGAAACAAAGACATTATCATAGAATATAATAATGAATATTATGCAGCATGCTTAAACGATTGCAATTTTTTTTAGAAAATTAAAAAAAATTAAAGATTGTTCGTCGAACACGAATGTTTTGATCGTTTCAACTTTGGGTAACCATGAACACGAAAAACAAGGTCAATGTGGTAGGTATATGGGCGTGAATTATTGTGTGGTTTTTATTGTTTTTAAACACCAGCGAAGATCGACTACAATATCGATAAAATTATATTTAAAAATGCATTGGTGTCCAACTGTAAAAAAATGTTAACACCGGGAGGTACATATTAGTATTTATAAACATAAGTTTCTTTTAAACAATTTTCGTTATTTAACTTTTTTAACATAACTGCCTACATTTTATGCAATTTTTTATTTAACAGGCTGTGTTATCTTTTCATATGTAAGCACCTGCTTAAATACATGGGATGATTTTTATTTAATTTTTTTTAATAAATGTGGATATAAAATATGGGTTATCTTCAATAAGGCTTGATATTTCTTTTTTATAATTATAACTTAAAGCTTATAAAGTATATTTTAAAATTTAAAATTTAATTTTTATAGATAAGTTGTATTAAATTTGAAGCCCTGAYTTGTATGTAACTGTAGCCAGGATTTTCTTTAGCGGAGGGTCTGATAATGTGCCTACACAGAGTCACAGAACACCTAAAAAAAACTTTAAAAAAATATATATATACCTAACCTAACCTAACTGTATGGTCTCCTATAAGCTTATAGTATAACTATTGATGTAGAGGTTTTACTTTAGTTTTCCAGTTTTCAGTTCCCGCACGGCTTAACTAGAGTGACCGATGATAATACGACGTCCCGTATTTAAAATTTGTCCAAGCGCGTACACAAAAAATATTTTGTATGGGGCTTAGGTTATACCAGTGGCGTACGTAGGATTTTTCAATGGGGGAGGGGGCTTGAAAATCAAAAAATCACACAGTTGTCTCAATATAAGGTTTGAAAAATAAATTAGATACTTTCTTAGTCTTATATAGTAGTTATAATACGTGTGTATACACCGCAACGCGAAAGCAGTTACTGTGGCGTCGTCGGTTCAAATCTGGAAAAAAAGTAGGTAATTATAATATATATTTAAAGAGTAAATACTATGGTTATAAAATTTAGGTAAGCATTGCACACGATTTAAGATACTATTAAATCATGGGTAATAATTACTAATTAGAAAATAAATAATATTATGATCAATGGTGGCCGGGGAGGGGGGGCTTCATACTATACATTTTCATATTTATATAATCTAACCTAAAAATAAGATTACACAATTTCAACCATGGGATTATTTATTTATTTTTAAAAACTTTAATTTTTAGGTAATGTATATTATGGAAACATGAACATTTAAATTTTATAACATAAAATATAATTTTAAAAACGCTAGCCTGATCGAGCACTACCTAAACGAGATTTAATTCATATTATATACGATGGCTGCATGGTATCTCTACATTAAAACTTTTAATACTATTAATAAAACCAGTTATATTTTTATAAAATATATAAATTATATTTTTAAACAGACACCCCTTTCACTCTATAAAAACATAATTTATAATTTTCATGAAATTTCAGGGGGGGAGTGGGTTAAACTCTTAAATCTTTATACAGGATGCATTTTTCCGGTTTTTCTAAGTCTATCCTGTATGCCTGTATAAATCCCGTTTTTTCGTTTTGTCCTTGAGATATCCTTTTAGATTTAGATGTATTTTATAATAAAATTGTTTTATTTTTAATATTGTACGATATTTTTCAGTAGAATATATTGGTACCTACAACCTACTATCTACTTTCGGAGTATTTTCAGATTCTGGTTTTGATTATTCTAACGAGTATAAAATATTWACATTTGTGTATTATGTCACATTATTGTTTGTATAACGTAAAACCATAATAAATCGTACAAACTATAATATATATAATTTCGTTTAGATTATTACTAGATAATATTACCTATTATTGCAATCACACCGACCAAATCATTGTCAAATCTGTGCATGTTGGCCGAATATAATACATTAATATCAACTTATATTTTRGAATATCCGTTTTCCATGATATTTTATCTATGTAAGAATATTTTAAATGTTTTTTGTACACGAATACATTGCAAATATTCAAACTGTACTCTGTAGGCAGGGACGGCGCTAGGATTTTCGGGGGCCCGCGCAAAATAAATAACAGTCACATTACATATTATCCAAACTAACTAATCTTTGAACAGTATAAAATATCATTTAAGAACTGCGGGGCCTTAATTATAATTTTTAAAATCGCGGGGCCCGGTGCAACTGCCCCGAATTCCCCCCCCCCTCGCGCTGTCCCTGACTGTAGGAGTTCGCAGTGGCATAGTCGTAGTGGGATACTGGGATAGTATATTTAGTCTATTAAATGAACAGTAGATACAATGTATAGATAGGCTTAAAATAATTTAAATAAATCTAAATATTTTGAAGTCAAAAATGAAATAATACTATTAATGTATGGAAAATGTATAAGAGTTTCAAGTTCTCACGAATCATATTTTTTAATTACCAACAACAAAATAACTATAGTATCATTTACACTTTAGTAAATAACTAATTTCGTCCAAACTTAAAAATGTTTTTTTCAGTGAAAACTGAAAACTAGTTATAAAGATAGTAGATACTTTTATTTGATGTCCATATCATACCTATAATAATTGAACATTTTATAAATTATTAAATATGTATAGCATTTGTATAGGTTACACAATTTGTCAACATTTGAACTTCAAATGCTTGTATAAGATTTACGGCTGTAGTCAATTTGCACCAAAATTGACCCAAAATATTTACAACATGTGAAATTTAGTAATTTGCACCATTTTTTTAAAGTGCGTTTGCAATTTCCACCAAAATAAAGATATACAATTTTCACCATCCTCAGGTAGTAAGAAATAGGAATTGTAATTTGCACCAAAATTAAAATCGATTCTTTTTTCGATAGTATTTCGATAGTACAAACTTTTAAGTTTTTATATCCTAAT